GAGTTGCTCTGGCGTGGAAGTGCTGGTACTTAAGGTGTCCAGCTCTCTCGGTGGCGAAGGAGACGCAGCAGGCGCCGGCGCGCTGACCTCACTCTCGTTCATCCGTTTGATTGACAAGCAATTTTTCAGTGAAAAAGAAAACGAGATTATTTTTGCCACTGGCCAATCAAAGCAAAAAAAAAGTTGCATTTATCCGAAAACATAGCTTGTCAGTCAAAATTTTGCAAGCATGCTCGCATCCAGGTAAGTGTTGGGATGCATCACGATATTTGCACGAGGGACTCGATCTGGCACTGCAGAACCGTCTGTGCGACTTGAGTGTGCAGCGTTGAAAGCAAATTGAGCCGGTGACGCCGTGGAAGGGTGTGTCGCCTCAAAAAATGCTCTGCATGCACCCTGGCAATTGCCTGTAGAAGCTTGTTGCGTAATTTCCATTGCCGCTTGCAATGATAACCCATGACGACGTAACTCTTCTTGCAAGGCCGGTCGGCCCCAGTGTTTGAACGGACATCCGTGATATTGTCCATGGCTGGGAGCGCCACCGGAGATAATCTGCTCACAATCCAGAGGCGCGTAGTCCTTCCGAGAACCTTCGAGTCCATAACTGTGGCGGATGTGGTAAGTGTACTCCTTGTCAAATTTGGCAGCGGGTATTGTCTTGATAAACTCGGAGCGGAAAAACTGGATACACTCGTGCACCGAGAAGCCCGCGCCTTTGAGGAACATTCGGTATTGTACGCGACCATCATACTTGAGATGGTGATTCTCTCGTAGTTTGCGGTGCAGTTGCTTCATACACAACGGGAAATGCTTCTCTGCCACCTGGTCGATCTCCTTCACTTCCAGCTTTGGCCTGTCAGCTTTCTTCGTCATTGAACTCGCTGCTCCTGTCAAGACACGCGCTTCCACGACAAATCCATCGAGTATCGGCGTCAACCGCTCCAACTCGGGCACTTGCGCAGGAATGGCACACTGCAAGTCTCGCATTTGTTCTTCCAAGCATCGTCTGAAGTGATACACAGCTACGACGCTCATCTTGCGAAGAGGTACCAAGCAGAATCCGTCGTGAATAACAACCTCTCGGTGTTTCACCAACCCTGGTGCTTCCGAGAAAGGGACGCGGTAGATGCTTCTCTGGGTTATATCCATATCGGGGTTGTCTTCGTTTAGTAGTTCATGCTTGATTCCTTCGCGCTTTAGCAATGCCACGGATGTGTATGGCGGCAATTTACTAAGACGAGTCGCAAGGAGTTTGGATTCAGCAGTGACCAGCCAATCCCATCGGCTTGAGACTCTGTGTCCTTGCACAAACGAAAGAAACTTGCACTCAACCATCGATTATCTCCACTGGCATGCAAAGCATAGGGATTATATCAGCTTTTACCTGCAAAATGCTAGTCGTAGGGCGTAATGAGACAGCAGGTCGGCATCAGTGCCTTCCTGGAATTCCGCGGCTTCGTTTAATAGACTCTTTGTTGGCTTGTGTGTCGAATACGAGCTCCATCGTGCACTGATCTGACTCAACAGCTTGACGCGCTTTTGCCCAAGCTCTTGAAAGTCGTCTAACGACACGCGTTGCTCCGGAGCGGAGCGGTAGAAGCTCAGCGTGCATGCTGTCGCCAGCATCTCCGTAAATGGAATAAATAAAAATGAGGATGCATCAAGTTGTCATATTTCTAAACGGAATTGGGCTACTCAAAATTACAGCTTCTAAAAAAATGTTTGACTCGATTTTATTTTCGGTTTAAAAACCAAAATCAAGGGAAATTAAAGTTGCAAATATTAATTAATTGATTCATTGGCAAATACAAAAACAAAATCCTAAACATTTTTTGTCAAATACTTTTAAATAATATTTTACACATAAATATTTAAAACCTTGAAAATTATTATTTTCTTTTGTTTGCCGAAGTCATCCACAGAATGCTTACCTGTTTGCAATTGTAGGCGAAGTCTCATTTCGCTAAGTGAACTTTGGACCACCGGCATTCCAGTCTTTCTCCTCGCTACAATGCTAGAAATCCCCGTGATCGACCTCAAGTACTATAAGGCCACCGGCGACAAGACCGAGTGTGAGAAGGCTGCCGAGTCACTGCACAAGTTTGGCGTACTCTGCGTCCGCGATGAGGTACCAATGGCAATTCTATTTAAAAAAAAAATTGTGGGAAGCTCTAAACACTCGTATAGCGAGCAGCAGACAACGACAACAACAAGTTCCTGGACATGATGGAGAGATATTTCGAGTCGACAGACTTCGAGGAAGACGCGCGTCCGGAGTATCACTTTCAGGTGGGTGTCACGCCGGAGCGCAAAGAGCGCGCACGGAACCACTGTGCTCGCGCTGAGAAGCTCGACAAGCGTCACGCTCCGGTCTCTCTATGCCCTCCGGAAGCCGACAAGAAGAGTCGTTTCTTCTGGCGTGTCGGTGAACGTCCTGCGGTGAGTTAAAAGTGAAATTATCAAATGTGTTGATCGTCAAAGAAATACTAACTCGTGTCTGGGTGGAAATCTACTTGGGTTGACTAGGATACCAAGTTTGAGGAACTGAATGCTGAACCGGTGGTTCCCAAGAAGTTTCCGGAATGGGAAAGTGTCATGAACATGTGGGGCGGCAAGATGCTGGACGCAATTACAGATCTCGTGGAAATCGTTGCTCTTGGACTCGGTCTGGAGAAGGACGCACTAGTGGACCGCATCAAGTACGGCCCACACTTGTTGGCACCTACGGGCAGCAACTTCAATGTGTTCAACCAACTGAACGACGTCCTCGCCGCTTACCACTACGGTGAGTTCGGAAAAATGCTCTACTGGTACTTTGTATAATTTCTTAACGTCTGAAATGATGATACAGACCTTAACTTGCTGACAATTCATGGCAAGTCCCGCTTTCCTGGGCTGTACATTTGGCTGCGAGATGGTACGCGCACGGCCGTCAAGATTCCCGATGGCTGTCTGCTTGTTCAGGCGGGCAAGCAGATGGAGTACCTGACGGGTGGATATGTACAAGCGGGTTTTCATGAAGTGGTGGTGGCTGAATCGACTCTCGATACAATCGCTCAGCGCAAGAAGGAAGGCAAGAGTCTCTGGCGCGTGTCCTCCACTCTCTTCTCGCACACAGCATCCGACAAGACGCTGGTGCCTTTGGGGCCTTTTGCAACACCAGACGCGTTAGCAAAATATCCTCCGATTCTTGCAGGCAACCAAGTTTTGGAAGAGCTTTCGCAAATTGACCTTGGTACTGGCTTCACCCTCCATCGTGAATAGGATGTCCAGACAAGTACGACTTGCAGTGCGTTCGTGATGGACAGCACGTTGAATCTTGTTACGTTCAATGTACGAGGATACTCCTCCGTTTTTTTGCTTCTCGCTCTCTCGTATAGCTCCGTATTTTCACTGTCTGCACATGATCGAAAAATTACCAACCCCGAATCTCCATTAACAACGTCAGCCATCTATACCCCGCCACGACTGGGAGCATGTTATCGTACGGATCAGCAACTCAATTTCCTCGGTCGATTGTAGTCACCACACTATCAGAACATACCGGCTATTCCACCTATGCTCCACTCGGTGTCGACAACGTGAACGGCAGGAGAATCAAGCTTTAGTACACAAAATGGTTTTTTATTAACCACCTTTTGGACCCTGCATCGACACTGGGAGAATTTCAGGACTTCCTCATGTAGGAAGGTATGGCGTACGCAGCTCGGTTGACATTGAACACGACAACTTTTAACGTACCGATGAACGATCACAACTTTTTGCAAAACTCAAAAGGCATATTTGTACTTGGAGAATACAGTAGATAAACAACTCGTAAGCTATCAGTCGTAGCGCACGCTGCCTAATAGCATAGCCTTGTAATATACTGCAATGTGAATGATGTCAAATTGCACTCATTAAGCTAGCGTTATCCTGTGTATATGATCTGCTCAAATGGACAAATGGATACGAAAGCGAAGCATTGTTAGTATGATATCGAGTTAGAAATTACCACTCGACACCAATCTTCACATACCGATCCAGGTGGCACAACGCCATTTTCACTGTCGTGAAGCAGGCAGAGACTAGCAACTTCGAGACGTTTGCCCTGAACCGTGCTCAGAAGCTGCTGACCTCGATACGTGCTGGATGTTGCATTATGAGACTTCCGCACCGCAGCTACTGCATTTGTCGAGAAAATCTTTTTACTGTGCATATCCATCGTGTGTGCGTGCTTCATGTCCGCTTTCAGGTTTTTCATCCGTTGCAGTTCCCTGAAGCAAGGAAGAAATGTCATGTATTAGAACCGCATTGCATCTCAAGCTCGATAAATTACTTACGTCTTTCGATGGTTGTCATTTGCTCTTTGGACCACGTAGCGCTTCTCGGTTAGTTTTTCTTCCGCCTCCGCCAACTCCTGTTGCTGCTTTTGTAGCAGCAGAGCACGCTTGTTCTCCTTGAATCTCTCGAATTTAGCGGTATTAAGCACACGCTCCTCGCGTTCCATGCTGTCTACTCGGACGAATACGTTTTTTGCGTCTTCAAACAGCTTCAATTTCGCCAAATTCTTCTCGGTATTTTTCAACTCGAGCAATAGGCTGGAAAATTTGACATGGGGCTCCTGCAACTTGTTCAGGTACGTTTCGAGTTGTGCTCGCTCTACTTCGTGTGTCTTTTTCAGTTCCTTCTGGCGGTGTAAGATCTCACGTTCGTAATTTTCAGCACGGGCTGCGCATAGGATATCGCTACGCTGCTTAGCGAGTACAACGCCCCGATTGAAGTGCTGTGTTTCCTTCTCCTGACGGCGTCCTTCATAGGTTCCCTGCATTTCTACGAATTCACGCTTGATAAGACGCAATCGGTCGCGCAGTACGATAGCTTTGTCGTATTTTTTGGTATTCAGGGACAGATCGCGGAGCAGGTCATCCAGTTCTGCACGGATCTTTTTGAAAATTGTGCATTGATCATGCTTGTCAATGATGTCATCTGCTGAAAAACCGAACACGGTGAATACATCCACCAACGACTTGATGTCCATCGGATTCTTTTTTGATCCTGCAGAGGCTTTGGGATCGAGAACAGTAAGCTGCTCCGCCTTCATGATGGCGAACTGCAGATCATCACGCAGCTTTACAGATTCAAGGTTAGCTTTCATGTTGGGAAAAATCTTTTACTCGTATGGTTTACCTGCTGCTTCTGATCTTCGTCCATGGTGAGTCTGTGCCAAGTAAATATCCAAGAGCTACTTTGAATAATGGAGCGAACTCGTGGAAGAATTTTAGTGTAGAACCGGAGAAATCCCGACGACGACGTTACCAAAAATACTGCATATTTTCACTGCAGCTAAAATGGTCCGTACATTGTTGCAACCACTTCAGACGATGAAGCTTAGACGGTGGAATCGATGCGTTTACGGATTCGCACAGCCAATGGACCTTTGACCGGTAGCACAAAGGAGAAGTCGTAGGTGATTTTGAACGGGTCTTCCACCGTCTCAATGTCGAAGCGACTGAAAAGCACGGCCACGACAGTCTTCATCTCCAGCATAGCAAGACGCATTCCAATGCACTTGCGTGGACCTGTACTAAACGTGATGAACTTCGGTGGTGAGATGTTCTTCAGCTCCCCGGTTTTCTCGTCGAACCAACGTTCAGGTCTGTATTCCGCTGCGTCCTCTCCCCACACGTTCGTGCGTCGGGCAGCGGCGTACTTCGACACGACCACCACGGTTCCTTTCTTGATGAACGCACCGTCCGTAAGTGTTGTGTCACGAGTCGCACACCGATACGTGGAAACAGACCACAGACGTACACTCTCCTTCACTGCTGCATCTAAGTACACGAGTTTCTGCGTGTCCTCAAGTGTTGGCGCCTCTATTTCTCCAGTTAATAAACCCGGCAGTACAGTTCGGATCTCTTCACGAATCTTTCCAAGAACTCGTGGATGGCGGTTCATCATCACAATGAGCCACGACAGACTGAAAGACGTCGTGTCCTTCCCAGCGATAAAGAAGTTAACCGCTGTGTCTTGTAGTTCACGTGGATCAGCGTTGACATTGTCGTTCATCAACAATGTAAGCAGGTTCTTCCTCTCGTCCAGAGTCTTCTCAGTAATGGATCGAACCATAATATCACGCACCATGTCATTGACAATCTTCATGTTATCACGTAGTCGCTTTTCAGCGCCGATATTAAAGAATCGCGCGAGTTTCCACATCCACATGGGAGTCTGAAATCGGTTCTGCACTGCATGGAGTGCGATATCTAACGGGTGCATCTCATCAATGTGAACGTCTCCACCGAGTTGGTTAAGCTCTACGCCGAAACCGATGCGGGTGAACACGTCGCTCGTGAATTTGCCCAATAGCGACTTCATACTGACAGTTTGTTCGCGGTCTGCACATTGCGCCAGGACGTCACGAAGTTGCAGTGTTTTCTCGCGGATAACCGGTTCCATGACTTCACGAATGCTTTTGGTCGAGAAGAGGTGACTGGCAGCTCGACGCTGCTGTTTCCACTTGTCCCCGTTGACGTTAAGTAGTCCGTAACCGAGCACATCGAACGAGATGTCTCCGAGGGTTCCTCCTTTCTCGAAGACGTCGAATTTGTCCACGAATACATCGTGGAGATCATTGGGCATGGAGAGCACGACCCAGGGCGGTTGGAAAAGCAGTTGCAGGATCCACGGTTTGCCTTCACTTGCATCAGTTTGGTCGTTGATCCAGTCGCTCATGCGATAGCGGTTGAAGAGAAGAACGTCCAAAGTATTACCAAGAATGGGCAGTGTTGAAGCAGGACGGAAGAGATCCTCCATGCATGGATCCGGTACAGGGGCAGGCATGTTGAGCAGCTTCCAAGACGCGTAGACTGCGGTTAACGCTCCGAGTGCCAGCAGTGCAGACTGCTGCGTTCCGTCGTGGCTTGCACTTGACCACATTGAGCTGAAAGTTGAGGAGTAGAGTTGAAAGTTGTGTGTGTTGCGGAGAGCAAATTGCACAGTGACAAGGAGATCGGACCAATTCGAGCAAAAGTCTCCTGCAGTTTACTGCCGAGACTCGAGAACCTCGTAGATCAATTTTCAAAGATGACACGAGCACGAAGAGTTCACTTCACTCCTCTGATTGCACCATGAAGTGTCTTGCATTACATTCCTGAAGTTAGGCTAGCTTATATGTATAATGAATGAACAAGAGTGGACTTTACCATTGTTTGTAGATGAGTAGCGTCATATCAATGAAGTTGTATGAACCTGGATCACCAGCCTGAAAAGTCCCTTCGACTACCAAGTAAGCGACGTCTCTAGGATTCAAAGCGATACTTAACAGGAGGATATGGGGAACGTGTGGAGCTACTACGAGGACAACGTTGCGTTCGACAAGACAGCGTGCTTGTCATCGAGAGGAGCATCGCATGGAGGCTCTGCTTTCTACACTTCGTTCAGACGGAGGGCTGCCAAGGTTGTGCTTCAGCAAGAAGCATCTGGTTTAACGTCGGAGCGAGAGGAAGTGCTCTTGACACTGGAGAACTGGGTCAGCGAGGCTTCCGTTCTGTACGACCAGGATGGTGAATTCCCAGTGACGGTGGCCATGCAGCAAGAGCTGGCGTTCGACCCGAGCAAAGCTGGAGATGCTATTCGCCAAAAGAACGACAACGATGTGCCAGCTACATTAGAGGAGAATATCCTTAAAGGATTGTGCTCCAACCCGTTGAGTACACCGGACAGCATCTACAAAATCATGATACAGCTCGGTGAACGCCTTGGAAGCGACGAGTTTCTGCGTGTAGTGGGAAAGTATCCGCGTGCTGCGCGTTTGTTCGCAAGCCAGCAACTCATTGCTCGCTCCGACGTGGCTAATGCCTTCCAGCTGAGCGTTTTACGGGGAGATTACAGTCAAGCTGCAGCGATAGTGGGGAAGACGGCGTACGGAGATAGCGTACTTGATACTAAACGCAATCGTCTTAAGGAGGCGTCCAAGCTTCTTAGAGTCTCCCTCAACACCTCACCTCCCTCCATCACGTCGGCATTTTCTCTGAGTTCAACCGAGCTGCACGAACAGTGCGTAGCTCGATCGGCAGACTCATTCAATCAAGTCATGACGAATGAAATGCTTCAACTGCTCGAGACACAACGAGCGATGGAGCGCACACTGGCGATTCCTGCTGGGCTATTAGTGGGCAGTTCGCTCGTAGAGACTATCCAGAAGCTGGTGACGTTGCACCCGGTGCATCGCCAAGCTTTAGTTCTCGCTGTGGACTGTGCTGAGCAGTACTGTGTCCCTCCAAGGCAATTTTGGTGGACGTTGTTGCGCGTTCTAGCCCGAACGGATCAATGGGAAACGCTGTTGGCCTTGGCAGGGGCCAACCAACCGCCCATTGGATACGTGCCAATTGTCGAGGTGATGCTGGACGAAGGCAAACACGACCTCGCTCGAGACCTGTTAGCTGCTATTCAAGACACCGACGAGCGCGAGCAAGTCTTGGCGCTACTGGCGGAAGAAGAGGGTGGAGAAGAACAGGAACACCACCACGTTGACACACTGTAGGGAGGTTGATACTGAAAACAGAGCTCCTGTTTACAAATTTTAGGCATAAAGTGGCAAATGTTGCTAATTTGCTAATGACAAATTGCCATTGTGTCAAGCAAACTTCAACACATGGTATGTCTTGTCTATGCTCCATTCGTCTTCAATCTCGATTTTATCTTGTTTTTTGTATGCTGCGGCTAACGTCCAATCCACCGTTTGGATTTCGGTATCCCCATCACAGCGGCCCCCAATGATCCGCTGCATCATTCAGCGTTCTACCAGGTCCCCAGCAACTCGACTCTAATGCTGCGTCTCCCCGGTCTCTTGACGCGTCGCTGCGTTGCCTCAGACAATGTACCCAAAGCTCTGTTCTCCTCGGCTGCGTCGCTCGAAGCGTTGGCAGCGCAGTCCATGGCCACAGCTTTTCGCCAATCCGGTCACTTGCAAGCCGATCTGGATCCACTCAAACTCCAGCCACGGACGGCAGTCCCCAGTCTCGCCGCTGACAACTTCAAGCCACTATTGACTCGGCCTTTATCAGCCACCGACCTGACCGGTGTCGTGTCCGTCCCTGCAGTAAACGGGCAACAGCTCTACGACGAACTGCACCGCATCTACTGTGGTAAAACCGGTTTTGAATTCGAGCACCTCAACTCGATCGAGGAGAAAACGTGGCTGGCCAATGCTGCCGAGACGTTGGCAGCTAAAGAGATCTCTCCCTCTGACTTGCGCAATGCATACTCGAGTATGTTACGCGCTGATGTCTTCGAGAGCTTTATGGCCAAAAAGTTCGCGTCTTTCAAGCGATATTCGGGCGAAGGAGCGGAATCCATGCTGCCAGCAGTGGAGACTGTATTGCAAGCGTGTACAACGTCGGGTGTGACCGACGTAGTGATTGGTATGCCGCACCGTGGACGACTAGCACTTCTGGTTGGGTCCCTCGAATACCCTGCACACAAAATCTTCCACAAAGTGCGCGGATACTCGGAGTTCCCCGACAATTTCCGTGGCATTGATGACGTATCGTCACATATTGCCACAACAGTGGACAAGAAATACGCAGACAAAAAGGTGCATGTGTCACTAGTGCACAATCCGTCGCATCTGGAGATCATCAATGCTGTTGCAGCCGGTAAAGTTCGTGCCAAGAATGATGGTGACTCCAATACCAACGCTATGGCGTTGCTGCTTCACGGTGACGCAGCATTCGCTGGACAGGGCTGTGTTCCTGAGGCACTAGCGCTTTCTCAACTTCCAGACTTTGAGACGGGAGGATCGGTACACATTGTGGTGAATAACCAGGTGGGTTACACAACGACATACCCCGATGGTCGTGCAACGCGTTATGCTTCAGATATCGCTAAGAGTATCGAAGCACCGATCCTGCACGTTAACGGTGAGAGCATAACCGACGTGATCCGTGCGTGTCGTCTTGCTGTGGCCTACCGTAACCGGTTCCACAAGGATATTGTCATTGATTTGATCACCTTCCGTCGTCATGGACACAATGAAGTGGACGAACCACGCTTCACACAACCCAAAATGTACGAGCGTGTTGACCAAGCCGATCGATTCCCGATCAAATTCGCTCACGAACTGGAGAGTGTTGGTCTTGTATCACGTACGAGTTTCGAGAAGACTGTGGAGCGTCTGAACGATCATCTTGAGAGTGAACTCAAGACGGTCACGGGTGAACCAGCATATAAACCTACCGAGATCGATGCGTTTAAGGGCAAGTGGGCGACGATGAACCAGCCAGAACCTGAAGATCTGTATGTGAACGTCGACACTGGTGTTGGCATCGACAACCTGATCCAAGTCGGACTGGCTTCTGTTGAGCTGCCTGAGCGAATCCAACCGCATGGTCGTCTGCAGCGTACGCACATCAAGGCACGACAGAAAATGCTGCAGGTTAAGGACGGAGAAAAACCTGAAGACGTTCGTGTGGACTGGGCTACAGCTGAAGCCATGGCGTTCGGCACGTTGATGCAAGACGGTCACTCGGTGCGTCTCGCTGGACAAGACTGTCGACGTGGCACTTTTAGTCAAAGACACGCCTCGTTCACGGACCAGAAGACAGAGGAGAGATACTTCCCGTTGCAGCACCACTTGCCAAAGACGTCGGATACTGTTGGTAAGCTCAGTGTGATCAACAGTAACCTGTCGGAGCTGGCAGTCATGGGCTACGAATACGGCTACAGTGTGGAGAGTCCAGAGAATTTAGTGATCTGGGAGGCGCAGTTCGGTGACTTTTTCAACGGTGCTCAGATCGTCATCGACCAGTTCTTGTCAAGTGCAGAGTCCAAGTGGATGCGTCAGTCCGGTCTCATGTTGTTGCTGCCTCACGGCAACGACGGAGCTGGTCCTGACCACTCCAGTGGCCGTGTGGAGCGCTTCTTGCAGCTTGTGGACACTCCTGCATTGACTCCACGTTCATCCGTCAAGGAATCCGAGACAGAACCGGTGTGGAAGCAGTACCAACACGACACCAACATGATCGTGGTGAATGTGACTACACCGGCCAACTTCTTCCACCTGCTTCGTCGTCAACAGCACCGCTCGTTCCGTAAACCTGTGGTCATTATGGGACCCAAGATGCTGCTGCGTCTTGCTGATGCGACCTCGCCGTTGTCTGAAATGGGCCCTGGTACAGCTTTCCAGCCGGTTATCTCGGATTCAACGATCTCTGATGCGTCACAGGTCAAGAAGGTCTACTTCTGTTCGGGTAAATTCTACTACGAACTGGCCAAGGAGCGACTTGCACGTTGCAAGAATCCTGAGAGCATTGCACTGATTCGTCTGGAAGAATTGGCGCCGTTCCCGTTCGAGCAGGTCGCTGATGAACTTGCCAAGTTCGACAATGCCAAGAAGTTCGTCTGGGTGCAAGAAGAACCGCTGAATCAGGGAGCATGGATGCACGCTCAAGCGCACATTGAAAAACTGCTGGGCAAGAAGCAGCACCTCGAGTATATCGGTCGTGAAAGTCTCGCTGCTCCTGCTGTCGGCTTGTCCAAGCGCTCACAGGAGCAATTGCAGGTGGTATTGACGGAAGCGTTCGGGCCGCAAAAGTAGACGACAGTAGCGCTAGGACTATAAGCCGCTAATAGACGTTCAAGTTGTCGATCGATACTGCCAAGGGCAATAGGTTACAGCAAGCCCAGTTGAGCTAGCGATGCCATAAAACATGAATGTTTGCTTGTATGAATGCAATTACTTACGTAGATAAACTCGTCCTCGTGATGCTTGCGGATATTGCTACGGCTCGCTGTAGACGATGGCGGAGGCATAGCTCACAGAAGAGTCGCCGTGACGCATGCAAGCACTGCTCTGAGCGTATTTGACGAACTTGAGAGTGCACTTGAGCTTCTTTGACGCCAAAATGGTGTGTAGCAACAGCGAGATCGGATGGCGACCGCAAATGGTGTTGTTTGTTTCATCCAGATATCGCGTGAAACCTGCCGCATCCAAGCGCTCAATGAACTGCATCCAATCAGCAAATAGCAAGCATTAGCATTACTATATACAAAGATATCGAATCACAGCAGAAGATAAAGCTCTGGTCACGTACTCCCATGCCTTGGTGATCTAAATATTTGATGTATTCGTGGATCTCGCCATAGGTTGAGTCGTGTGGCTGGTAGCGGAATCTACACAAGCAACATCACGCAACGTACAAATCGACAGTTAGCCTACCAGCCAAAACATTACGCGTGCCATTGAATCTCCATTCTTACCGAGGTCCCCAATGGCAGAAGTCGGAGCTGATGACGAACAAATTCTCGTCATTCTCCAGATATGGGGCCAAAATCCTACAACAACGTTGGTATCAGTCTACTAATCCAAATCTAATGCAAACTGAGCGAGTTTCAAAGTCCCAGAGGCCTTACTTTCCGTACTCCTCGTCCAGTTTGGTCTTGGTATTGCCGACCAAGATCGGGACCGCCGTAAACTTGCGGCCATTCATTACCTACTCCACAGTCCAATAAGTGTCAATACTTCGGAATACAACACTAGTGTAGGCAGTGAGTTCAGGTGTCTTACCTTGTAGATGAAAGGAAGATGCATCTCGATGCTGTGCTCATCCTCGTCAACATCCATCGACATGGTCGCAAACTTGCCCTGACAACCAACAGCGAACCGTTAGACAATTAGGAACTTCTAGATTTCTCTCACGATCTAAAACCTACCGAGTCCACGAGCTTCTCGTTTACTTCACGGTCGATCGTAATGTTGCCCAGCGGCGTCTCATACTCATGCGCAGTCGACACAGCGCACCCACTAACAACCAATTAGCATCACGGTCTTCCACTACACTAGAGACTTAATTAATGTACCCACCGCAAGTAGAAGTGGTGCGATGGCCCGAGGATGAAGACGCGCTTGATGCGGTCCAAGTCCAGCAGGTGGTGGTACGCGTACGCCGCTGTGGGGCCTGAGTATCTGTAGCACAACAGCACAGTCCGTTCAGACCAGACGCTCATCATTGTCAATCCACAGCATTTGCAGCGCACCGGAAGCCTGCGTGCGGGCCGATAATAGCACGGATACTCGGCTGTTTCTCCTGCGTGTCGTTGTCCTCTGCGGAACTCAACCAATCTGCACACAATCGACCCCGTCACAGGATTTGTACCTTTCTATGCTAGACGATATCGTGGCAGACCTGACAGCTCGTCCTGAAGCTTGTTCTCGTCGTGAGAGTACCAGGACCCCGCGTGGGTGGCCAACCTCACGCGCACAGAGCTTGGCTCGGGCTTCTTGGACATGACCTGGAGGGTTGAGATCTTCTCCAGGGTCGAGCACGACAATGCTTCTTCCGAAATGATGCGCAGTTGAAGAGGTACTTTTGTCGGTTGTCGCATGGACTTTTTTTTGGCTTTTCATGACTATATACCGATACAATACCAGTTACAAATCGGTTTTGCAACCGGAAGTTGAAGTTGCAGTTTTTCCGCTCAAAACCTACAGCGCATACCTGTTGAAGTCACAGGAACTCAAATTCTCGCACGACTGACGGAGAGCAACTGCTGACCAGCAGTGAGCACCTGCTTGCTGTAATCAACTGCGAAATCGTGGCACGTGCTCGTCAAAACCCATTCGAAACCCTGTATATTGCCCTCGTGTTGAAAGGTACGCGAGGCACCTCCTGTTCAATAGAAGAACTCGAAAGAAACGGCGTTGTTGTGTAAAGGCGTTTAGGTGACAACAGATGCTCGTCACGTGAGGAACTCCACGTAAACACCTACACTGAGGCACATGGAGATCGACGCGTAATCCGCACGGCAACAAGAAATCCATGTTGCCGCTACCGGTACATTGTAGCGTACGACGTACGCCGTACGCCGAGCGTTGCTAGATTGATGTACAAGAGTACACGCACAGGTAGGGTGGCACCTGTGAGTCTAGCCTAACCTTGTTAGAAGACGATTCATATGACATTATATAAAGTCGTTTCGATACAATCTTGGCAAGAATCATTCATTCTCAACGAAAATGCAGTAGGGCACGGTATCACGATTACGATTGTTACGCCAACAAACGCTGCGACGCGATTCACTCGACTGGACAGGGTCTCGTTCGCAGCTTATTTAAGCACAATCCAGTCCAGCGTTACCTCATCGTGAAAGGCAGCTTGAACGTTGCTGGGCTTTTCCTAAAAACGAGATCCCCTACCCAGCTTTCGATCCCCATGGTCAGAAGCATATGACAACGGTTGGTACTGGGCGGGTGTAGCTGTAATGGTACATGCGAATGGGACGGCGTTGTTCACACTTCCCAGCCACCCTAAAACATCACTTTTGTATTTTGGCCTTCACAGTCAAGCCCACTGCTTCGCAGCAGTACACACAACCGAACTCCCTGCACGACAGCCCTCTCCTGTGTTGCTAGCTACAGGAAGGAACGTCCAACTACCAACAACACCGATAACTCAAAGCCCAAATTCAGAATGAGAAGCCACCACCGCTACAAACGCGCTGATGACGAGGACAACCGAGTATTGGCGCTCAACAACTACGCCGAGGGTTTCCTGGTGAAGCAGGGTGCGCGCGTCAAAAACTGGAAGCGCCGCTACTTCGTGTTCCGCGATGGTTACCTGTCGTACCGCAAGGACCAGCGCGAAACTTCTAAGGTTTTGGGCACAGACGTCGTGCTCGACGTGTTCTACTGGTCTGGTGTGGAATTTGGTTTGTCGCTCAAGCTCAGCAGCGGTCGCTCGCTTTACGTATCACCAGCATCCGAGCAGCAGGCCTGTATCTGGTACGAGGTTGTGCAAGGATACGTCATGCGCCAGCAAATGATCCGCCAGCTTCAGCATGTAAATCGACAACGAGAAAAACACCTTGAACCCATTTGGGAGACTGAGGACGCCGCTGAACAGAGCGCCGAGCTCATTCAGTACAACCTTTTGCTGTAGACGAGCCTCAGCCATCCCAGTTAATGTATCACCCGTCAAACACGGAGTCTGCAGCACTCCTAAGTGAACTTGAAGCCATTGGAAGCTTCACCACGAGAACGATCGCACAACAAGCTCTCTACCGGTAATTACAAGTTTCAAAATAAAACCCATTTCACTTTGATCGGTAAAAATAGTCAGCTCAAATCAAGCTCTAAAATTGGTCCTCAGCTCATTTTGGTTGATTGGTGTGTCAAACATCACTTTCAGCAAACCGCACATTTTTTTTGATAACCTTCGCAATGGCTGGAGCTGCTGACGCAGCCGCACCTGCGGCCCGTGCGCCAGAGGAGTCGCCTTCCGGGTATCTGACCCGCTTCTGGCGTGCGAATGCATCCGCCTTCATGCGCTGGTTCCTGGCGCTGCCGTACGCTGGTCAAGTGTCCTTGTTGCGCAACGCATCGCCCGACATTCCTTTGTCGTACGACCCCAAGGAGCCACGCCCGCAGGCTACACAACTGCTTACGCCTGAGCTGACGCTTAAGGCGCTGCTGGAGGAGAACGGGAAGGTGTTGCTGCGCCTCATGAATGCGCGCGTCACCAAGGTTGACCAGTGCAGCCGCCACGATCTGCTGTACCTCGCATCACTACGTGCTTCTGGCACCATGCCCACGTTCTCAGGCGAGACGTTCAAGCACGTATCCCTGGCATTCATCGACCTTGCGGACCCGGAGCACAACGTGCAGTCGCTGCTTCCCTCCGCGTCTCCCGAAATCATTGAACAGAAGAAGGACTTGATCAAGCAGGGCAAGCTTATGGAAGCGGACGTGTGGCTCACGCTTCAGATGCGGCAGCAGGTCATCCTCACGCTTCTCACGAATGTGGCACACACTTTTGAGACCATGTTCCTGAAGCAGGTGATGGTCGGAGAGGTGAGTGCTGCTGAAGTCGGCTGCCGATACTGCGGCGCGTCCACGCGGAAGGACGAAGGTGCAGAGAATGCAGCAAGTTTGCTGCGGTGTGCATGTGAAGCAGCTTTTTACTGCTGCAAGGAGCATCAAGTAGAGGACTGGACCAACCACAAGACCAGTTGTAAGACAATCAGGAAGGAGAAGGCTGCTGTGGAGAAGCAGGAGGCAAACTAGAATGCACGGACGGCACTCCATTAACTGTGACATATACTGGTGAAAAGCAGTGAGCCACGCCATTTAGATTTCGTTGTAGCTATAGTGACTTTACCCTGAAGTCCGCATTACGGTATTACTAGCCTACGCGAGCTTGTCCTGTTTGAAGGCCTGCTTAGATTGTGGTGATAGTGGTTGTATACATACTCCTTGGCTGCCAAAGCGCATTCGGAATGTGGCATTCCTCGTGCCCAGACTTGTTTGCGAGCAACACTACCGTGTAAGTAGCCACATGTATCGTGTCAACGCTTTTTTTTCTTTACCGGTAATTGCGATGAACGTCGCAGTTCAAGGTTATTGAACTGTACACTCGTAGTATCGAGTGTGGGGACTGCCAGTCAGTCATTAATATGAAATTCGTAGGTGTTGCAGCACATCCGTGGCGCAGCCAATTGGAAGAACGCCCTGGAGCTGCTCGGGTTATTCCAGTTCCAGGCCAAATTCCAAAAACTAAAGTTCTCTAGTGTCGTCTCTAAAGTCCGGAACCGCTGCTGGCTCCACCTAAAACCATCGCCACTAGTTCTTGGTTCGGTGGGGCCGGTGGCCACCGGGCTGTTGTGTGCATTGCTGGGACACACAGCGTTTGTGTTTGCCCATCGAAAAGCCCGACATGTGGCGTGATCATACTGTATCCGACAGCGCCACGAATGCAATGCAAGTTGCATTGCAACCACTTACTGCGACTAAAACTATTAATTCCATGGCGCTGCAGATAGTTACTGCAAGACCATCAATTTCCCTCCTTGTCAAAAAGCCCTTGTAGAAACCTCGCGAGAACTTATAGCGACAGTCGCGGTTTTGGTATTACTCGGTGCAGACGAGCGTGCGCCACCGTGCGGAGCAGGGCGAAAATCCAGCCCCAAGCGACATCGATATCGCCAATATATTATCGGCCGGTAGTGCGATGCCGCCCGAATCGCCAGCCTGCTTTCCCCGAACACCGCAGTTTGTATTCGAGCATCGGCATCACGCATTTTCGCGAGCATCTGCGTGTGCTCGCAGGGCAAACGGAGCCATCACGAGCGGATCTGGTCTCCCCTTCCTCGTCGTCTGGTGCCGTACCTAGGTTTTACAGCTCGACTCTTACTTTTCATTGGCTAGAAAAGGCCGCCGTGTGGTTGTTGCACACTTAAAAAGGGGTAGGTGTGCCTATCCCTGCTGGCTCAAACCGCCCGAGTCAAATCGTAGAGCGTCCACTGCGGCGCTGAGCTTCCCCTCACGTAAGAACGAACGTGCTCTCTGTGTGCCTTTGCGAGCGACTCGCGGACATCGACAGGTAGGCTCTGAACCCCCTTGCGCCGGGTCATCAAGCGCGCCAACCGCCGTCTCCTGAAGCCAACCAGGACGTTCTGAGGGAACCTCTCCACCTTCTTCGACAGCCATGGAGGTCGGTGCCCCCGTGTGGGTCTTCGACCGTGAACTGTGGCACGAAGCGGTCGTTGCTACCCCCGTAGACGCGTCTTCGGGACTCGTGGAATGCGCCATCGAACCTGAGCCTAATGATGAGCACCTTGTGACCCCCGAGGGAGACAACGTCGTCCCCGATGCGCAGGACTTCCAGACGCCGCGTAAACGTCGTAATTCGCGACGCAACTCGATGCGTCGGACCGTTTCCATTCAATCGGAGCTCGTACTACCGCGTAACCAGGGAGAACACTATCACACAGTACAGGACTTGACCAAACTCGTGCATCTACACGAACCTGCGATTCTACAGGTGCTGAGGCGACGATTCTTCCATGGAGAGATTTACACCAGTACAGGACAAATCTTGGTGGCCATGAACCCGTTCAGACGTCTGTCATTATACTCCGACGACATTAAGGACCAGTACTATGATCTGGGTGGGAATGCTCAAGCTGACAAGAGTACAATAGCTCCGCACGTGTACTCCGTCGCAGATCAAGCATTCCGGACCATGTTGGTGCCGCGATCAGGCGACAAGAAGACAGATCAGACTATTCTTGTGAGCGGTGAGAGCGGCGCGGGTAAGACGGAGACGACCAAGCTCATCATGAATTACTTGGCCTACGTCTCCACCAAACGCACGCGACGTCCTATTCGAGCGAGCAATTGCGACCAGACGACTATTCACGACCGAGTACTGGAGTCCAATCCCATTCTGGAGGCATTTGGCAATGCCAGGACCACTAGGAATAACAATTCCAGTCGCTTCGGTAAGTTCATCAAGCTGGGATTTACCTCGTCAGGCGAAATGCTGGGCGCTTCGATCTCCACGTACCTGTTAGAGCGCGTGCGTCTCGTGTCACAGGGCAAAGGTGAACGCAACTACCACGTTTTCTACGAAATGTGTGGTGGTAGTTCTGCTTCGGAACGTCAGGAATTGGCACTGCTGGACGTGCAGGAATACGCGTATTTAAATCAGTCCGAGTGCTTCGAACGTCTGGACGGAGTGGATGATGCCGAGTCCTATCAGGTGACACGTCGAGCCATGTCTAGTATCGGCATGAGCACCGATGAACAGCTCAACGTGATGAAGATCGTCTCTGCGGTGCTGCATTTGGGTAATTTGTGCTTCACGACTGCTACACGCAATGGTGGCAAGGATGACGCCTCTGTGGTGGACATGGACGAATGTGGTGATAACGTCCGAGCCATTTGCGCGCTTCTTGGAGTGGAGGAGGACGTTCTACGCAGTACACTATGCACCAAGAAAATTAAGGCAGGTGCAGAGTTCATTACGACGCGCCTTCCTGTTGCACAGGCTCATTCGACGCGGGACTCAGTGGTCAAGACGCTGTACTCGAACCTATTTAACTGGCTTGTGGACCGCATTAACCGCAGTATCGAGTACAAGGAAGAAGCGGGGAGCAGTCAGTTTATCGGTGTAGTTGATATCTTCGGCTTCGAGATTTTTGAGCAGAATCGACTCGAGCAGTTGTGTATCAACTATGCCAATGAGAAGCTCCAGCAATTATTCGGACGATTCGTCTTCCGTATGGAGCAGGACCAGTACGTAGCAGAGGAAATCCCCTGGAAGTTCGTCGATTATCCGAACAACGATGTCTGTGTGGCGCTTGTGGAGAAACGACACACTGGTATCTTCGCTTTGTTGGACGAGCAGTGTCTGATTCCACGTGGTAACGACGAGAAGTTGGCCAACAAGTACTATGAGTTACTGGCCAACAAGCACGAGAGCTTCTCAGTGACCAAACTGCAGCGAGCCAAGGGTCAGTTCGTGATTCATCATTATGCCGGTAACGTCTGCTACATGACGGATGGCTTTTGCGACAAGAACAAAGATCATATGCACACTGAGGCTGTGGACCTCCTGCGCACGTCCAAGTTCTCGTTTGTGCGTGCTTGTTTCGAGAACAGCGTCAATGCTGGCAACTCTAGCCCAAGAAATGGTCGGACGGAGTCTCGCGGCAGCGATGGCAATCGTCGTCGCTCTGGCGGCATTATGTCGTCTACAGTCGTGGCGCAATTCAAGAGCCAACTCAGCTCGCTTCTGGATGTGTTGAATGCGACGGAACCTCACTTTATTCGCTGCATCAAGCCGAACGACCAGGCCAGCGCGTCACAATTTGAACGGAGGCGTCTTCTGGAGCAGCTACGCTGCAGTGGTGTACTGGAAGCAGTCAAGATCTCGCGAAGTGGCTACCCTGTGCGTTTTCCTCACGAAGTATTTATCAAAACGTACAGTTGCATCTTGTCCCAGGTACCAAGCGCACAGGGACAAGTGGAGAAAGAAGTGGCCCTGCAGATGGTGGACAAGTTGGCTGCAAAACTTCAAGTGCAGACAGATGCAAAGCACCCTCCATTCCAAGTGGGCAAGACGAAGGTCTTCTGCGTACTTGAAGCTCATCAGGCGTTGGAAGCTGCTCGCTCTAAGGCTCTGTACAAGTCTGTAATTACCTTGCAGCGATACTGTCTTGGTTACACGATGCGAGCGCGTTACCAACGCAAGCGTCGATCAAGTATTCGCATCCAAGCGATGTGGCGTTCCTGGTCGTGCTGGCATCGGTATCAACGCATTATTCGTCGCACACGCGCCGCTGTTAAACTCCAGTGCACAACTCGAGGGTTCTTGGCGAGGAAGCAACTCAAGCGCATCCACGCAGTCACTGTCATCCAGTCTTTCGTGCGTGGATGGCTTGTTCGACGCGAGTATTCTGCCAACACACTGAGCTTCGAACATGACGTGTCGTATGTGGGCTCACTGGACGAACGCAGCACTACGGCGAGCTCTATTTCCCTTTCTGAATCGATCTCAAAGGACCGTAAGAACACGACGATCTCGTTCCAGAGCTCCGTATCCACTAGTGACTACTCCGACACTGACGGAAGCATCATTATCAGAAGCAGTTCGCGTATTTCAAGGAAGAAGATGATTGAAGAGTACGAGCCGCCCACGCAAATCCAGAACGAGTACGAGATCGTTTGGGAGTGCGGTCTATTGGGTCTGTATTTTGAAAGCGACCCTGTCTCCGGTATGCCAATTGTGCGTCGAGTCCACGAGAGTTTGAGCAACTGCGCAGACATCTTCGAAGTCTCCAGAGGTGACGTTCTTCTTGCCGTGGGAAAGGTGAAGGTGAAAAAGGGAGATATCCGTCGCATCCTGACCCTATTGCAAGAAGTCCAGAAGCCTGTTCGTCTTCATTTCCTCCGCAATCCAACCGAGTCGTTCCGGCTTCGATCAGGATCTCTGGAGCTCTTGGGCGAAGAGGACTACGAAGTGTTGTGGAAAGAAGGAGTGCCTCTCGGTCTTGGCTTCCGTCCAGACCCAAGCACTGGCTACCCGTGCGTGTTGCAGTCGCAAGGTAACCAGCTTTTACCTGGCATGTTCAATGTGAGAGCAGGCGATCATCTGGTCTTCATCAACGAGTTTTCGACTCAAGGTGTTCGCTTCCAGAAGGTCATCGACATCTTGGAAAGTGGTCCTCGACCTGCAGTGTTGCGCTTCCGTCACACTGACCTGGTGGAAGACCCGCAACATCAACTTGATCAGACAAACCCGCTGAACAGCTCGGTGCTGTCGAACCCGCAAGACGATTCTCACTCGATGGGGATGTCACGCATGACGCGTCCGTCCCGTGTGAGTATGAACCCGAAGAACGATCACTCGCTGTATTACATCACGTGGAAAGAAGAGGACGGGCCGCTGGGTATCGTCGTCAAGCAGGAAAGCACGAGCTACTACCCTCGTGTGATCAACGTCAAGAGCGAGGGAGCTGTGACGCGCGAGTCGCAGAAGAACCGCGTGGAGATTGGCGATATTTTGCTGAGCATCAACAACAACAACATCAGCAAAATGGGCTTTGGGGCAGCCATGAAGCTGCTGCAAAAAGGCCCCAAGCCGCTTCTACTTATGTTCCAGCGTCCGCGTTCGTCTCTGTCAATGACGACAAGGAGCTGCAACTTGTAGTCCTCGTCCTCCCCGGTAGGTGTTAAATATGCAAATTTTGGGCCACACGGACAGCAAATGTCTGCAGATGAGGATGCAGTTTGGATAGAAGCTCCTGTGAGGACCCCGCTACGCCGTTCAACTTCGTAGTGGGAGTTTTCTTCAGTAGTCATCGTCTACATTGGCCGCCTTGAAGTATTTTGAATATTGGTTTTGTTATAAAGAAAAGTCGAGCTTTCATGTTACATTTCCATTGTTTGCATTGAACGAGAGTGTGTATGCAGTTAGAGTGTTGATCATTGCTCTGTAATGTAGAATTGAAAGTGGATTTTTAAATTCACCGTTAGCTATCAGAAAAAAAACTGTTCTACAGGGGAGAGAAGGTAAAGTTATGCTGTCGAAGCGCTTGCTTTACTCCTTCTTCTCCTGGCGGAGGTGGGCGAGGATGGCGTCGATGTCGTCGGAGTGGTCCGTGACGAAGTAGCGGCCCTCGCGCTCCACTATCTCGCCCTTCTCGTTGAAGAAGATGAGCGTGGGCACCGTCTTGACGCCAAACTTCTCGCACAACTCGATCTTGAGGTCGCGGCGAGCGTAGGGTAGCGCGATCCAGGGCATCTCCTCGTAATACTCTGTAAACTTGGCTTCTTCCTTGTCTGAAGACACGAAGACGATCTCGAAGTCATCGTGACCAGCCTCCTTGATGTCGTTGTAAACCACGTCTAGCAGCGGAGTGAACTTGCGGCAAGGCGGGCAGTAGTGGCCGCTGAAGTAAAGGCCGATGACCTTCTTGCCGGCCAGTGCCTGCGACGTGGGCACCACCTCGCCGCTCTTGAGCATCAGCTCGTTCTGAAGCAGGGCCTCCATTGCTGTCTGTGTGGGGTTAAATACGCGACGTGACTTGTGTGCGCTTGGACGAAGTTATTGGAATGAGGGCGTTGGCTGGTTTGAAAGGGGAAGGGCGGGTAGAGTGAAGCAAATTTGGCGGGACCTGATGAGATTGGACAAAATTGAGTGGGAGTTGGTGCTGACAAAGACATAAAACGATATGAGATTGGATAATAATCCTCACAGATCAAATAGAGAGTTGTGATTGGTTGAAACATGATTGCAAATCACTGGGTGATGACGCGATATGTAGACTACCGGTAGATTGAATCGCCTTGTCAAAATAAATCGATACCATTCATGTTTGCAACTTGCTTAATTCTTCACTACCGTCGCTGCAAACTGCGTTCCTACATGCTACTCATAACTCATCAAAAGTGGACGTCGCTGCGTCTTCTGCTCGATCTCGACTGCTGTTGTCTGCTGCATCTTCTCCTCTCTCTTGCCTCCTTCACCCTGCTCCATCTGAAGCCTCGCACACGGTTCCGTTGCCATGTCATAGCGGCAGGCTTCAATGAAGAGCTGCCACATCACTTAGCAGTAGTAGAACCCGCCGAACGGGCGTCCGAAACCGCAGCCACCGCCGTAGATGGAGTGTCCCCATCTGTTCCACCAACCGAGCGGATAGCGCCAGCCATAGCGGAACCCACCAAGGTACGGGTACGTGTAGCGCCAGCGGTACGTGATGCCGCCCGTCGGGATGAAGCCGCCTCCACCAGCAATGACCTGCTCCAATTGCTCTTTGGTCGATGGCACCGGTTCCTTGTCTCCGAGGAGCGTCACGCCGGGCGGGGCGTGGGCTTCGTCTGCGGGCGGGGCCGCGGGGGCATCATCGGCGTGAGCGACGCTTAGTATGGCGACTAGCACCACCAACATAAAGACGGCGAGACGCTTGATCATGGCGACTGCAGTTGTCGAGGCTTGGTAGTCTTGGATGTCTTCACAACTGCGCAAAAAGCCGAATGGCAATCACGATCTCGAATTTGCTGTGGGCCCAAGTAGCTTTCCTTCAAGAGGTTGCGACAACATTTTCACTGAGGCCGTTGGGGTGAATGAAGTCTGATCTTGGCCTACTACAATTTCCTGGGACCTGGTGAGTTGTCAGTGCGCTGCTTGAAAAATATACTGTCGTGCCGCTACTCCTCGTCGCAGACTTGGCATGACTTCAACACAGAAACCCACACCAATGGTAACAAATTGGTTTTGAGGAATTCATCACAAGTTCCACGAAATCCACGTGTCCAGTCACTACTGCTCTTTCATCAACTTCGGAACCCATCTCGTGGATCGGTTCATCCTTGAGTAAGAGCTCCAAACCACCACCAATGGAGCCCTCACGGTTATGATAACAAGTCAACTGACGCCCACTTCTCGCCGAAATCCTGAACGAGTGTCTTCCAGTTTAGTAAAGCTGCCGCGTCATTTTTTGTTTTTGTTTTGGTCGCTGTTCTGAATAACCACGCTAGTTGGCACAAGACCAGAAGGGAAGTAGTCAAGTGACACTTCACACTTTACCATGGTGTGTGAGTTCTCGCTGATTTCATTGCTCTGGTGCGCACCGTGCTTGTTTGGCGTCGCGAGTAAAGAGAAGCTAGTTAATAACGTCAATGTACCCGCTTCTCGCAGCGTACATACGTAGGTCGCACTGCATCCAGTCGCACGCAGTGAGAAGAGCTTCATAATCCACTGCTCTGGAGGGTATCACGAAGCTAGACGACCGCGAGCTGGTGGCGAGTAAAATTTGTCTGGCACATTTAGGTGTATCTGTAGCTCATGTATCTCCTTTCGCAGGGGTGATCTTGGCTGGTGCTGAGTGCAGACTTCAAATCTGTAGGCCATTCGCTTGGCAGGAGTTCGATTCTCCCTCGCTTGCGCCTTTTTCCTAAAACGTCTAAAGAATTGTATGGCTCCAGTTACAAAATTGTAAATGGAAACTTCAAAGTGAACCAGAGACAACATCTTTCTCCCATCGCGTGGTATGTCAAGGTGACATTGTCAACGGTTGACTCAACCCGAGGTCTTCGCGGCCAAAGTGCAGCACTGCGCGTTCTTCAATGATGAGAGTGCGGGTAATCAATAGCGGCATCCAAGCCTCTTGCTCGAGCCGTTTCCTTGGCGGGCTGCCATTGGCCAGCCACCACGTCAGACGCCGTCCACCGACTTTCGTGTGCATCAAACGGACGGCCGCGCAGTTCTCAATAGACTCGCGAGCGACTAGCAAGATCCCTCCCCTCACTTCCACGCCAAGAATGTCGCGCCAGCTCCAGCCTGAGCAGTTGTTGACGCCCGTGCCGTCCGACATTGCCATCAGCGACGCCATCGCGCCGTTGCCCATCACGGAAATCGCCCAAGCCGCCGGAATCGTAAGCTCTTTTAAAGATACTTTTTGGCCATAGCGGAGACGTTGGAGCTTGCTACTAACAGAGATATTGTGTATTACCATTATTTTACCGCAGCTACCCGAGGAGGTGGTGCCATACGGTTCTACGAAGGCCAAGATCTCTCTGGACGTGCGTGACCGCCTTAAGGGCCAGCCCAATGGCAACTACGTCGTGGTCACCGGTATCACCCCCACGCCTCTGGGCGAGGGCAAGAGCACCACCACGATCGGGTACGTTTGAAAGCCTTCAATTGCAGCCATCAAGAGGCTAACGAGAATAACGATGAATTTGTACCGCAAATCTTAATGCAGGCTGTGCCAGGCGCTGGGTGCCCACCTCAACAAGAAGGCATTCGCTTGCATCCGCCAGCCTTCGCAGGGTCCGACGTTCGGAGTCAAGGGAGGCGCAGCAGGTGGAGGCTACGCGCAGGTCATCCCTATGGATGAGTTCAACCTGTACGTTCAGTTCCTTTAATTGCAGGCGAATTGCCATACTGACATTAATTTTGGAATCTTTCGACTGCAGTCATCTAACGGGAGACATCCACGCTATCACTGCTGCCAACAACCTGGTACGTTTAGGAAATATTTACTGCATATGTGACTGTATATTGACTAGTATTGTCTGTGTAGTTGGCTGCTGCCATTGACACTCGCATGTTCCACGAGAACGCGCAGAGTGATAAAGCGCTGTTCCGCCGTCTCTGTCCGGCAGCTAAAGACGGCTCCCGTAAGTTCTCGCCCGTCATGCTCAAGCGTCTACAGAAGTTGGGTATTACCAAGGTGTCACCCGACGACCTCACGGACGAGGAAATCCACAAGTTCGCGCGTCTAGACATCAACCCCGACACGATCACTTGGCAACGTGTGCTGGATACATGCGACCGGTTCCTGCGTCAAGTGGTCGTGGGTGCTGGACCTGCCGAGAAGGGCCAAACCCGCACGACTGGCTTTGACATCACAGTAGCTAGTGAGATCATGGCTATCTTGGCACTTACCACAAGTCTGGCAGACATGCGCGAGCGTCTGGGACGTATTGTCATCGGTATGAGCCGCAGTGGCGAGCCAGTGACGGCTGACGACTTAGGTGTTGGCGGCGCTCTGGCTGTGCTTATGAAGGACGCTATTCTACCTACACTCATGCAGACGGTGGAAGGAACTCCCGTCTTCGTGCACGCAGGCCCGTTCGCTAACATCGCTCACGGTAACTCGTCCATTATCGCGGACCAGATTGCGTTGAAGCTAGCGGGTGAAGACGGTTTTGTGGTCACTGAATGCGGCTTTGGAGCTGATATTGGCATGGAAAAGTTCTTCAACATCAAGTGCCGTGCCAGTGGACTGACCCCGCAGTGTGTGGTGCTCGTCTCCACGGTCCGTGCGCTTAAGATGCACGGAGGCGGCCCCAATGTGGTCGCCGGCAAACCGGTAAGTTTCTGGGTCTTTTGACGCGATGCGTGCAATTGTTTCTTACATTTGTTATTCTGTTGTAGCTTGACCCCGTGTATGTCGAAGAGAACCTTGAAATGCTGGAGCGTGGTTGTGCCAATATGCAGCATCACATCCGCAACGCGTTGAAGTTCGGTGTGGCTGTCGTTGTGGCTGTGAACGTGTTCGCCACGGACTCGCCTCGTGAGGTGGAGCTTGTGAAGCAGAAGGCTCTGGAAGCTGGTGCCACTGCTGCTGTGGAGAGCACTCACTGGTCTGAAGGTGGCAAGGGAGCGAAGGAATTGAGTCGCGCTGTTGTTACTTCTTGCGAGAAGATGCGTGCACAGGGCAGCCCGTTCAAGTTCCTGTACCCGCTGGAATTCAGTATTGCCGAGAAGTTCGAAGTTATCTGCAGTACGTTGATGATTCTCACAGCTTGTCTTGACCATATAGCTAACCTGGTGGTGATTTTGCGATACAGAGGAGATTTACGGTGCTGACGGCGTCGAGTTCAGCGAAGAAGCTAAGAAGAAATTGGCGGTGTACTCGCAGCGAGGATACGGCAAGCTGCCTGTGTGCTGTGCCAAGACTCACCTGAGTTTGAGCACGGATCCGACCGCGAAAGGTGTGCCTACCGGTTTCTCGGTCACTGTGCGTGATATCCGCGCGTCTGTAGGTGCTGGCTTTGTCTACCTGCTCTGCGGTGACATGATGACAGTTCCCGGCCTCCCCACGCGCCCGGGCTTCTATGATGTTGACCTGGACACCGAGACTGGCAAGGTGATCGGTCTGTTCTAAGCAGATACATAACAACGATGCGATCTTGACTGAGACGACGAGCAAAGGGCGGCATGTCACGTTCATGTGCCCCCCTTTCCTCGCGTCAGCTATTGTTGCTAGAGCCAACCTGTTAACGGCTCGTAGAAGTCAGTCTTTTTTCCATCTCCTCTTGTGCTCGTTAAGTGCATATATTGTGTCTGACCCAGACAGCATTGAGTCTGGTCTAACTCGTCTCTGTTGGATCTGCAACTGCCTCCTGGGGTCTCCCTTCAGAGCGATTGTTGAGGAAGGTTTGCCAGTGGTAAAACTGCTGACCATGCACCAGAGTCATGAAATCCTCGCGCGCGATCATCTGGCGGAAGCGCTCATCGTCTAGCATGTCCAAGAAGGCCAGGCAGTGGGGGTACACGATGTACTTGGCGTACTGCGGTTGTTTCCAGTACTTGAGGTACTGCAGGTAGTTCATAAATGCGGGGTTCTCGAAGTACCGGTTGATGGCCAGGACTGGATAGAAGAGTTAGACAAAGAAACAAACAAGGAGATGGAGAAGGAAGACGTACAGTTGAGGTAGGCAGGGCTGGCCAGACACTGGATGAACTCCAGCTCCATCTGGAAGCGAATGTCATTCGACGGCACCTCCGCCATGGTTATTACTATTTTCACGAATATGGAAAACGAGAATCGGACTTTAGCGAAGCGATTTATACTCAGCAACTTTCCTTTTAATCTTGAATAAAAACTCGGCACCAGTCTCGTCCAGGTTTTATCAATCAGGTATTGTCCAGGTGTACGGGCAGGTATTGTCCAGGTAGAGTTTTTCCGGTTTAAATTACTTTCATTTCTTCTTTTGATTCCTAGCCACCAGTTGGGGACACGTGGCAGCACCGCCCCCTCCCTCTCCGCTCCACACGCACCGAGGATGGCCCGCACACACAAGACCACCCAGATCAAGGCAAAGATGCCAGAACAAGAGCGTGTGGCCGAGGAAGCGCGTCAGACCAACCTCGCTCTCTTGCGTGCTGCACGTACGCGCTCAGAGCGAACACTCGCCAGAGATATCATGGATACATCCTGCGCGGGTTCGACTGAAGTAACAGAGGACAGCGAAGCCCAAGATCGCGCGGAGGATGCAACAGAGGGCACATCAGATGAAGAAGGGGGTGATGGGGAAGCGCAGGTATGCGTGGACACACCGAGTGAAGCAAAGAAGACTACGGATGATGAAGAGGACGCTTCGGGTGAGGATGAAGAGGATGGCGAGGAGGAGCAGGTCGCATCGAACGAAAAGGGAGAGGACAAAGCGGAAGAAGCCGGTGTGGAAAAGGAAACAACGAGAACGCGTCGTCAAGGAAAGAAAAGAACCGTATCCGATGTCGATGAAGAAGAGCTGGTTCAGGCTCCTGCGTTTAAGGCTCAGCATGATTCGTGGTCCTCGCTGGAACAGCCTCTCAAGAAATACATGGAGACGACGCACCAAAACATTGTGGTGACAGAGGTGATCAATGTAGCTCGTAGCAATGCTGCTCTTCGGCGTCAAGTAAGGTACCAAGGGCTTACTGACTCAGAGTTGCCTCTCGTCCCTGCAAAGATGGAACCTTATCAGCGCAAGTTTATCTGTACGCATGAAGTGTACGCCCATAATCATCGGGTCTCCGAAGACATTAACAGGTTTTACCCAGGTATTCGCCAGGTTCCGGCGGACTCACCATTGATACCAGATATTGAGTTGCTGGTTGAAGCCGAAGCCGGGACAACAAGCGTGTACAACTACATTCGAGAGAACACAAATCACCGAGTTACCATGGATGATGTCCACAATCTACTTCGCCGGCTACTTAAGCAAAGTAAATGTTTGGTTTGATTACATGGCTTATCTTGTTCTTCCCCACTAACTTCGTCCGTATTGTGATCGTCGACAAGGACATGCGCGAAGTCGAGGTGTTTCTCAAGAAGCTTCCCAAAGATCGCGCGCTGTATTGCCACTTTCACGTGATCAAGTGGTTGCATGAGACGTTCAGAAAATCTAAGCCATAGGGTGTTTACGACGAGGATGTTTTAGCGCAGATGAAACACGCCATCACCAACATGACTTACTCCATAACCGAGGAGGACTATCAAATGCATCGTGAAGAGTTTAAGATCCTCGCTTGCCAAGATGATCGTACCAAACTGTGGGAGTATTTTGACAAGAACTGGGACGACTGCTGCGAGATATGGGTGATGACGTATCGAGTTGATCTGCCTCACTTTGGCAATCACATCAACAACCGCGTGGAGAGCCTATTTGGTAAGCTCAAACGGCAGCTTAAAGGTCACTTTACAATGCGAGCTAGCTTGAAAGTGCTTTGGACAACCAGCGACGCAAAGAGGAAGAGTATCGGTCTAAGGTCGAGATGCCTGGCGCCTTACGGGACGTGTCCTACTCAGAAGAAATGAATGTTGCGCTGGGGATAACAACACGTTAGGTGGCAGCAGCGATCAAGACTCAATACGACGTTGCTACGGATGCTGCCGTTGTTAACAACTACACGTTTAGCAACAATGGCACAACTGTCTCTGTCAGCGGTGGTGAACGTGAGTATCTTCTCAAGAAAGAGGGTTACTTGTGCGACAGTGGGTTTGCTCAGACCATGGAGCTTCCCTGCAGACACGCCAGGATGTACAAAATGAGCTCTGACAACCCATTCATTATCCCCTTCTCGACAATTGCGCCAACGTATGTCGACTTTGCGTTCAGGTATTGACCATATTTTCATCAGGTATGTGTGTTACAGGTAATTTGGTCAAAGCTGGCTCTCGCAACAGGAGTTGACAGAGGTGGCGGCGCCGTTTGTAGCTAAGATATACAAAGACCATTTACAAGCTGCTGATGGAAGGTTGAGTATAGCGAAGAAATACAGTCAGGCCCAGCAGGCACTTAGTCGCATTAGTGGCGAGCTTGCGAGGTTCGAAGACGATGCCTTCGCGAGTGCGATGTCGCAGTTGGATTAATGGTGGTACAATCTGAGGAATGGGTAACCCCCAGTAGAGCAATCTGACCCCGATCGTGACGATGACAACAGACACGATGATGACAACTCGGAAGGGGTGGTTTCTGGAAAAACAAAATACTGAGGCTAGCGATGCGAATGCGGTTACCAATGACGACTCCGATGACGCCCCGCCGACTCAGGTGGCTGGCCCCTCGAAGCGAGTAGCAGAGATGTCTACGACCGCAGCCCAACCGCCAAAATGCAAGCTAAATGGTAAAGTCAGAAGGGCCGGGCGACCTCATTTGAATCGTGCGGCGATGAAAGCGAAGGCGGCGTTAGCATTGAAAGAGTACAATAACGGGATGAAACTGCGCGCTGTTTTAAGAGATAACGACGTCTGCGATGTGGTGTCAACTCTGTGGATGGTCATGCGTGGGGTTCGCAATGTTGGGTCTTTCCTTACTACCTTTCCAGTCAAGAAGAATGGTGAGGGAAGGTCAATTCAGTGGCGCGTCGACATAGATTACGTACCAGATAGAGTGCGATTCCGACTTGTCGAATCGCTTGATGATTCGTTGGTTAAGTTGATGGGCGGATTGGCACTAAATGAAGAGATTGAGTTGGACAGTGACGGTGAACGAATGAGTAGCATTGAGAGTTACGTGGTGTCAATTGATAAAGTTGGTCAGTTCACATGAGAGCAACTAGAAGCTATGAAATCCTTGTGGGGGCTACAAGATACTTGTCGCAAGACTGTTCTTTGCTGTATCTGGCTGAATAGCACTGTAAAACCCGCTGTCAGTGATCCCGCTTCAGTCGTTATTATACTGGGAGAGATCCTGGAGTGCTGGCCGTATACACCGCTGGTTGGCTTCGGATTCGACCCGACGTATTCTAATCTCTTTTGCTTTCGAGATTCGGCTTGCTTAAACGATGATGCTATGCGCGCTTTTGCCGTTTGTCTCGCGGGACACAAGAACAATGTTACGGTCGTGATTCCGCACCCCGAAAACGCGAAGAGGCTACGATGGGATCCCAACCAAAGAAAACCAAGAGCCGTATCCCTGCAAGTACGCTTAAGAAAGTTGCTGAATGTGTAGCCTTGCACCCATTGGTGCTACTTCCTGTCAATTTTGGTGGTACACATTGTGGATGTCTCGTGGTTGTCCGAGACGCGAAGGTTGTCAAGATGTACGACAGCACGGGCGGTAAAATAAATCAAGAAACGGTTACAGAAGATGGCTGAAGAATTCCGCGCTGGACCTCTACACGACGATTCCTACGAAGCTTTGGAAGTGACGGAGCCGATGCAAACGGATAGTGATAGTTGCGGCGTGTTTGTGTGCCGTTT